TGTACTGGTAACTTGTCTACATAAGTTACAAATGGCTGCTCCTGTTGTTTTGCCACTCACTACATCTTTTCAGAGCAATCTTTAGTTGATCTAGAGATAGCAGGAAACACACTTCTTGAAAGCTACTTGTGCAGAAGTAGTTTGCCACATTAACTGCTTTGATTGTGCAAAGTCTTGTGAAGAAAAAAAAAAATTACACTGTGTGAATAGTATGTTTTATATGGTACGGAAGATAAGTGTTCTAGTCTAAGGCAAGTGGATGATAATGCTCTAACACTATGCTGACATTAACAGGGAGAGGCTTTGCTCTTTTCCCTTGACTCTGGTTGCATCGTTCCTCCTCTTCCCTGCCAGTTTGGGTGCTTATCAGGCCAGCATGAGCAATTTTGGTCCAGTTAGGAAACTCTGCTTCTTTTGAGTGCAGAAAAGATCTGATTTGATGTAACTGATTACCTCAATCACATTTATTATATTTGCCATGTAAATTCTACCTGAGATGCTGAAGTAGTGTAGATAGACAATGAAGAGAGGAAATATATGCCATTTTCAGTTCCTACTTCCTTTCCCAGTCCTAATTGAGAAGTACCTTAGGATGTATTTGTCATCAGCTTCCAAAAGCAAATAGGCAAGTGAATGTTCTGCTTAGTTTTGGTTAAGTTGAAATGTTGTTCTTCAAAGTTAAATTCTGTTGGGTAACTGTTAATACACTAGTAACCATTGATTATGTCAGGGAGGAGAGAGTGCACTGGCCTTGAATTTGACAACTATGTTCCAGTGGAGGCAAACATGTTGTTGGTGATACATAAAAACCCCCACAATATTGTAGTTGTAGTGACAGACTACTACTTTTGAAGGGATTCCACTAACTGAAATGTATTTTAGTGTTGCAAATAGTAACTGCAAGGAACTAACTATCACAAAAATAGGATAGTGATGAGACTGCTCATAATAAAAGCATGCCTATTTATAGCAGCAGACCTTCTGCTTTTGGCGCAGCTGTGTTACCTGGAAGGTCTACAGCCGTCATCAGTCTGTATTGGTGTTAGGGTTGACAGTAAAATGTCTTGGATGTGGTTGTTACCCACACTGCAATTGAAACACAGGCTTTTAGTTCTACTTGCAAGCCAGGGTTTTTCTGCTAACTTGAGGGGGAGGAAGAGGAAGTATTCTGAGATTTGGACATTTGCTTTCACACACAGACATTGCTCCTCAGTTTGGGGTTATGGCGTTGGTACATCTGAGGCTGTTGATGGTTCTCCTCCCTACGTTAAGTTTGTTAAAATTAATAGTTTTGTCTTTGACAATAGCTTGTATAACAATTTCCATCTCTTGAGTAACCAAGAACATTCTTGAAGAACATGGAATCTCGTTAGAGTTGATCATGAGTGTTTTATTAACCTACAATGATCCACAACCACTGAAGCCTGTCAGAGTGAGGAAGGACACATGAGCTGTTTGGAGTTACCTGCTTAGATCAGTTCATGAACTGATAAATTTTTTTTAGATACTGTCAAACAGAGCCCAATACAGGTTAAGCCTTTGTAGATCAATACAAGCCTGTTGGTATTTATCTGGCTGAAGAGTGGCAGAGCTGGCATGGATGGCTTAGTAAATGTTTCCTGTTTCTGGCTGTTAAGAATAATTTTTCTGTACTGGTAAGATTGTGTGGCAGAGAGACGACGTGGCTTGACAGACACTTCTGTTGAAACCTAAACTGCTGCCCTCTCCAATTTCAGTTCTTTGCCTCTTGTTCCTGCCCTAGTGTTGCCCCCCTTCACTTGTCTTGATTCAAGAATTCATGTGGCTGCTGAACAAACCAGCTTGTGGAGCTGATTTTGTTGAAAAATTGTATTTAAAAACTAAGTGTGTTTATTTTCTGGGCTGTTCATACAGATTTTTTTTTTTTACATGACCTAGTTTGATTAACAGAATCATAAGCACTTAAGCTCTCACAGTAGAGAAGTCTGAGTAGAGGTGGAAATGAGTGATCAGGTGCCACTGATACAGCGGACGGATGATGTCTTTTCCAGGTAAAACTGACACCAAATAGCTTTTGAGGAAGGTAGTTGAACTGATGGTAGCATTTGATGTAGGTTCTCTCTCTAAATTTAAACATCCTTTAATGATACAGAACTTCAGCATATGGAATAACAACATTATGTAAATTCTAAAGCATAGATAAGTATTTTTAGGTATTTCTTGACTAAAAATATATTGAACTGCACTGTAAATTTTAAATACCGCATCTCTATAGTGTAGAATAGTAAAAAACACACTACATTTACTCCCGTTTACTCTGTGACTAATTCTGTAAAATAGTAAATGTGCTGTCATTGCTTTTGTAGTGAAATATTATTAATAAACTATGTTAATCTTTCCTATGTAGTTGTATTTCAGAGCTAGAGATTTTTGTTAGTCGGTCAGGTTTGGTATCTGAACTACCCAAGCTCACAGTGGCCTTGGGAATATTTTTCTTCCCATAGAAATGAGAATGTGCTATTTTACATAGATAAGTTTGAAAGAAAACCATGTTTTATTTTGATTTAGAAAATGCAGAAAGAGTAGCAGAGTAGCAAGCAACTACAAAACTTCTGAGCATATTTTTTGTGTGTCTGCTGATAGCGCAGGTAAAAAGCCCATCGAGGTGCTGGGAGTGTAATTCTTACCCCCACCCCTGCAGCTTGCATAATTTAATGTGGAAATAGTTAGCAGCCCTGAAATCATGGCAGTGAACAATTTTTCTTACGTAGCCCAAGAGAGTAATTTTGTTTCTTGACCGTAGTTTTTTGATGAATCTCTCTGCTGTTAAAAAAAGTTTGGTATAAATGAAGGAGACTGATCTGGCAGATTACAGCATTAATTTATAGTTAACTTTCAAGTCAATTTTTCTTAAGTCTGGCAATATGTATGTGTTTTATTGATAGTTATTTTCAGGTGCTTGATAATTGTGGTAAGAGTCTACTGGAAACTGCTTGCTCTAGAAAGGTTTAGGATAGGTTCATGGAGAGTATTGTCTTGTTTTGCATTTAGGGTGCATAAAGTAAAATACTAAAAGTAAATTTCCAAGACTTTCTAAATAGTGAAGTTTAGCTTAACATAGCTGAAAAATACTTAGCTGCAGTTGAACAATTATTTTGTTGTACTGTGCTGTGTAAAATCCTGAACATAAAAGATCATTTGAGTTTTTTTATGACGTGGTTTTAGGTAGTTAACAACTTTAGATCTAAGCTTAATGCATTGATTTTTGATACTTGAAATGTGTTATATTTTGTTTGTTTGTTTTCTAACAAGTATTGAATTTTTTGCAGGCTTACGGAAAAATCTTGTTAATTACTTCTGTTGCTAAATTCTGCTTTTTGAGTTGAATGTGACAGTTGTCCTAAATTCTGCTGCCTGAGCAAAAAAATTTTTTTTTTTAGTTTGAGGAAAAGCATAGAAGGGTGTGGTGGGGTTGTTTGGTGGTTTTTTTGTTTGTTTGTTTGTTTTTTTTAACTAAACCCCAAGTTTTGTAGATGCTTGAAGAAGTTCAATGATGACTTCAGATAGGGTTTAATATATAATAATTTCTCCATTAGTAAGAGTGCATATGCTCAGGCTGAGACACCTGTATGCTGTCCGGATCTGATAACAGCTTACAGTTAAAGAGCATGCCTGCCACTCCAGGGCAAACTGATGTATAAAACCATTGCCTGTTTGTGGCATAATTGTCTGTACTAGTTTTTCCCTAGTGTTGGTCCAAGTTCCTAACAAATACTTTATAGCTGTGTACAGGAAGCCACAGATGTGGATGGGATCATCAAACTGATCTGTGTTTCAGAAAACAATCACAAAAGTGAGCTTTTATTTATCATTGGTCAGTTTAATCCAGTTTACCATGCATCCCTTCGAGAAGAGTGGCTGCAGCTCAGTAGGCAGTATTGGGGTGAGAATAAAGCATTGGGAAGGGTGGGGTGATTATAAGATGCTATCGCTACTGAAGAAATTACTTCGGTGAGTACCTTCATTATGTAGTATTGAATCTAAATAAGTTTATGGTATCTGAAGTGACAGTTCATGAAGCCAGCTCAGATGCATGCTTTGAATTTACCAGTGCATCCAGTCCAGAGAACTTAGTGGAAGCACTTCACTATTCACAGGGCAGTGGGCATGCTAATGGTGAGGTAGAAGAGGTCAAGAAGCAGTGTGGTGTAGTTCACTGAGCAGGGCTATGCAGTTAAATACATTCCTTTGCTTCGCTCAAGGCGAAGCAAATGTGAAAGCATTCATCTTTGACTTTATGGGAGGTAGAAGTACTTCCCCGCTACCTGCCCCTTCCCCATCTGAATTATTTTGTTCCTTCATTACTCTTTCATTACTGTAGGCAACAAAACCCATGATGACTCATTTTATTGTTCAGTTTGCATATGCAGTTTCTCTGTTGGGTTTTATATTCCCCTCCATCCTTACCCCCCGCCCCCCACATTGAAACTGTTGGTCAAGAGTGCTCTTAAGTGCAGTATTATATCAGTGTATGCGTATATTTAAAGTATATGAACAACCTTTTGAGTGTAGATTAATTCACAAAAAGAACTGAGAAGTTATACTGTACACAGTATGTTTTAATTTGTAAATATCTCCAAACAGAAATCCTGAATAAAGAGAAGATAATGTAATATTGGTACAGTTTAAAATATTGTGTAATATTAAGCACAATTACAAACTAATAGCATTCTTTCAAAAGGGCAGACCCCCTCATTTGTTCTGCCATGCTTTTCAGTTTGAAAATTTTCATTACATTCCCCCCCCCAAAATTTGGTGTGGTAGCCAGAGGTGCTTAAATGGCACCTAATTTAATAGCTTAAATAGACCATCTAATTTAACGAATTATCTGTGTGTTTGTCTGTCACTGATGGATATTACCAAAATGATCGAAAAAAATAGGACGTTGTCTTTAAACAAGGCTATTTCTATGTTCTGTAGGCAAAACAGGAGCAATTTCTACACTTGTCTCATGAATTCTAGATGTATTGTACACTCTTTGGCTGCTGAAAGTAAGTATTGGCTGATTTAATCTTATAGGCATGAAGTTCCTTTAAAACTTACTGTAAAGAATGCGGATCTTGTACATAACTTCATTATGAAATGCTCAGCGAAGTTTATTTAAAACGCAAACGTATATGGTCTAGGACACTGCTGGCTGTTGTTTTTCATTTCCAGGTATGCAAGCATGAGTAGGAACTGAAAAGAATAGCTATGTGTTTTTATTTTCTTGTAGGGTTTTTGTAAAATCAGTGTTTAGGTGGGTTCACTATGTCTTATTCCTAATACCATAGTTCAGACTCCTTATTGGTTAAAAAGAGGTGTTAGTTGTGTTATTTTTCTTGTATTTGATGGTGGTCTGTTTAGAATTACATTGATCCTATCATTAGTATAATTATCTCATGTCCAGTTCTACCCATGCACTTAGGTATACTGTGCATGGGTATACTTTATAGCTCAGGGCATTAGGTAGCTGTAATATTACAAATAATGGAAGAATACAGGTGGTATGAGAGCAGGTGAGCAGTGTAGCAATGCTCAGCTGTGTGTATAGAATAGGCAGCGTGGGGTCACATCAGTTCTGCAGTGCTGTGCTCCGGGAGGGCTGGCTGGGTTAAAAACGCAGCTTTGGACCCAAGGTGTTAAGCCTTTGTGTTAAAGTGTGGCACGTGCATCTCCTTGCTTGCTATGCCATCGGGGTGATTTTTCCAGTCTGCAATGAGACAGTCCGTCTCTCTGTGGCTGTACCAAGTTGACACTAGAATCACTTGGGATGTCTCACCACACTTCCCAGTGTTCCCTCTTCTGCAAAGAGGGTGCAGGGAGTTATGGCAAGGTTTCCTCCTTAGTGTGTGCTAGGTAAGGTCTGGCAAGGTTAATGAAAGTCATTCTGCACTTGGGAGCCAAGTTTTCTCTAGAAACAGTATAACTGCTTTAGAGTTATGCTTGCTTTCTTGTATCTATTTTAAAGATGAGATAATTGCCCATAAATAACTGAGTTGACTGCTACATAGTTTCTTTCTTTTGGATAAAAGTTCTCAGGAGTGGATTCTTTAACAATTAGATGGTTTCTGTAGGCCCTTTGTATGAAAAGGATGAGAAAATGGGAAAGAAAAAGGTTTTAAAACAATAGAAACAGCTGGCAGGATTCAGAAGGGGAAATGGGGACAGAGAAGAGGGTCATGGCTTGGGGGCTTTCAAAATCAGACCATTGCACTAAGACAAGCCAGTATAATGTTTTTATTTATTAAATAGAAACTGTTTAACAGTTCTGACAAATTGATCTTAAAATTCACTTGTTTAGCTAAGTGAAAACTCTGTAGTTTGTTACAGCTCAGAGTACTAACAAATGTGAACAGCAGAAATGGTGGAAGAAAGTGATATAGGAAAGGATTTTCTTACAGATACTAGTGCAAGTGGACCAATAGTAGGCTTGAGACAACATCTACAGTCCTGGATTTGCCCCAGAGACTGAGTTTGTTGATATTTTGCTGAAGTCTTTTAATTCTCCAAATTACTTTTCCTTGCAGGGATGGAGGTAATGTCCAGCACCCTTCTGTAAGAGTTCATCTTTCTGTCTCATTTTTTGCTCCCCCAGCCCTGACCCGACATGGGCTGTCCTTGTCTGCGAAACTTCTTATCCCATTTTCTCAGGTCTGATTTCTTAAATGTATAGTTTTTGGGGCAACCTTTGAATTGACATTAGAAATTGTCAGTGGCACTTGGCTATAGTCCTAATGTGAGGATGATGGATCAATTGCACTGTGAGAATTAACTCTGTCTGCTCTTCTTTCCCTGCCCCATGCCTTGTTTGCTTTTTCTTTCCCATACTTCTGAGATTAGGGACAGAGAAATAATTACCTCTTACGATAGTACGTATGTTAACAACACTGTAATTCTAGTTTGGTGGTGTTCAGCTGTCCAGAAACATACAAATGTGGCTTGCTTGGTTTGAAAAACTGGTGCTCAAAATCAGAATGAATTAATAAATTTTCAGGGATTTTCAAAATTAATGTTTTACAAACATGCATCCAGGACACTTTGCTTTTTTCCTAGCTATGATTTTTCTATAACCTATACATGCACATGCTTCCTTTCCACTTGGTGTTTTTTCTTTTAATACGGACTTGCCACTTAAGAGGCTGTTTCTACTTTATACATATTTGACTTAATGCACTATGTGTATCCCACTGACTGTTGCACATTAACATATTACTTTATCTAGAAGAACTTTTTCTTGCCATAACTTGACATGAGCAACAGTGCATTTTTTCATTTTCTGTGATTTGTTATTTGGTGCCTTGAGCATTAGATTGTTGTCTATGTTGTGCCCCAGATAGCAGCTTGAAACTAGTGCAAGAGGAGAGTGTTCTTGTAAGTCACATTTGTTTTCAGATGAATGACCTCAGTGTGCCTAAGTTACGCTGTTTTAAAAGGAAGCATTTATCTTATAAAGTATTATTTTTCTTACCATTTTAATACAACAGGTAACATTGGTAATTACTGAAAAATAGAATAGATTGGATTTGTTTATTCGATGGTGATATAATTCTCTCAGGTCTTAAAACCTTATTTGTACGGTCTTCTGGGGACTGTATTTCCATTGTATGAAAGAAAGATGGGAATTCTGTTGGTTTTTTTTGTTGTTGTTGTTTTTAATCGAATTATATATAATTTCCATATAGATCTGCTTTTGATGAGCAGAGCTTATCTGGCAATTTAATTTTAGTTAAGAAAGCTTTTTTTAAAGCCTGAATCATTTGTTATTCTTCAGGAAACTAGAATAAGAAGGGCTGTGGTTGATGCACTATTAGAGTAAGTAAACATAATCTGTGTTTTGTTTTTATGGAATATGCTACTTCAGTATTGTCAGCTGAGCTTTCACTTATCTTTTGAATTCATTGGTACTTTCTCCATGTCTTTTGGCTGAACCGTAACTGAAGTGATTTTGATGTTCTGTATGACTTACAAATTGAGTTTCTGTCTTTCTGTTATTTAAGGATACTTAGTCTATGTCTAATTTATTTCCACTTAATGGGATGTTTTTCCATATTTTTGCTTTGCTTAGTTTAGCCTATAATACAATGCATTTTCTGTACTTCATAATGCTTTTATGCTGTTCTCTAATCAACATCGTAGTGCACTTTGAATCACTTATTGTTTTTACCATGCTCTAACATGAACGGTCTAGGATTTTTTTAATTATTATTTTATTTATCTCATTCTCTTTTAACCACTGGTGTTGTGACAAATGAGATACAGGTGGATTCTACTTGCTGCCTTGAGGCATGGAAACAGAGCAACAGTGTTTGACACTTTGCTCTAGATTTATATCCCTCCTGCTGCTGGTTCTTTGTCCTCCCCCTCTGTCTAGTCAGGTGCTTTGGGCATTATGTGAAACTTATTTATATGCTTTGCCTTTTTTCCTCAAAGGATTCTTCCGATGATTTGGGTCAGCAATTCTGCCATTTGTTTGTTGATTCACTTTCATTCTAAATTTAAAAACCCAGCAACTTTTCTTACAAAATAAGATTTAATGTCTTGCATAAAAATGGGTGTCATGCTCTTATAGACTATTACCTTTTGTTCAAGGTAAATGTGTTCAGTGTAAATGAAGGCATGGTACTGAGAATAAACAGGTTCTGTATTGATCCCCACTCCCTGGCCCCAGTTGTCATAAGGTCTGATATAACTCAAATCCATCCTGTACAAAACTGCTGAAAATAGAGCTCTGCCTACAGCAGCAAAGAGCTTTCAATATCTTGGATAAGTTGTACTCGTGACTGTCAGGGGAGCTGTGCTGTGAGGCAGGAGAGGTAGCACTGGGCATTTGACTCCAGCCTGAAGAAGACACCTCTGTTCATGTTTACTTACCTTGATAATTAGAAGGGCTGGAATTGTTTCTGCTCAAATTGATTATGCTCGTTTGAGAATGTATTAACCTTGGGAAACTTGACATTTCAGCCTTTCAGTCCACGATGGCTATTGTGAATGCTATTTTGAGCTATTCAGTGAAATACTGTAAGTTATTACAGCATGACTCTTGAGAGGAAGCCAGTCTTCAATGTAGTGGTTTTGTTTCAGGATGCTGTCAAAATAGTCATTGCCAGCATAGTCGCAGCATACGGTCCTTGATTTTGAAAAATGCTGAGCAGATTGGCATATTCTAGCAACACATTTGGATTATAATGTAAAATTACAACTTCATTGCCAGCAGTCCTGTAGCATAAAAATGAGGCTTTTGGTACTAGGAGGGTGATCAGTAAAAGTGGAATACAGTGTCTTGTTTGCAGTCAGCTGGACAGTTTGGGTTTTTGTAGAATACTTGAGAAAAGAGAAAGGTGTCTCATTCTGGCTGTTTCAAAACTCTTTACATCTGAATTTCTAGAATTTTTTGACACTTGAGTGGCTGGGTAGGAGGACTGTACTTGGGGTACTTCTCTGCACTTGAAATCAACTCCAGAACAAGTTGGTATCTTACTGAAGAGGACCGCTCCTGTGAGGAGGGAAAGGCAAATGTGAATGGTCCCACTGATTTGTAATTAAAATTACTGTTTTCCGGTGTCTATCACTTAAGTATGTTTTAATTTCTTTTTTGTTTGTTTTTTGTTGGATTGGTATGGTATTGCAAGTGTCTGATTGAGAGGAATTAAAGGAATTGGATATGAAAGGTATTAAAGGAATGTCTTTAGCCTACCTAACTTCACTCTAACTTCCTCTGTAAGCAGCGGCATTAGATTCAGTAATATTAACATGACAGTGTCTCTTGTAGGATAATCATGGGTCAAACCGGAAAAAAATCTGAGAAGGGACCAATTTGTTGGCGAAAACGTGTGAAATCAGAATATATGAGACTGAGGCAGCTCAAGAGGTTTCGACGTGCAGATGAAGTAAAGGTATGTCATCTTTTGGTTCTATTGCTTAAAAAATGGTACAAAAATTGACTGTCTTCTGAAGTCTGAGTTGTCCTGCAGTTAACACCTGCAATAACAATTTCATTAAATACTTTGTTAATGTACTGAAAACTTGTCTTAACTCTGTGACTTTATAAACAGGTATGACAAATTTATATATGATTGAATCAGGCATGCTAAGTAGAAGAAAAGACTGTGGAGAGCAAGTACGGCAACTTCTTTAGCCCCATACGCTTTCTAATTCCATTTAGAATTTAGTTCCATGCTAAACCTCTGAGTCTCTAAACATGAGAACATGGTTTGAGTCAAAGAAAGGGATAATGAACTATATTGAGCCTCACTGACATTTAAACAAAATTTGGGGGGGTGAGTTTTGAGCACTTTTTTTTATCCTGTTTGGTTTTGTTTATTTTTTTAGTAAATGTTATAGTGCCTTAAGATGCTAGCAGGTGAATTTAGAGTCTTTGATTTTTTTGGTAATGTTTACAATTGTGATTAATTTTTAGAGTATGTTTAATTCTAATCGTCAGAAGATAATGGAAAGAACTGAAATCTTAAATCAAGAATGGAAACAACGTAGGATACAGCCTGTTCACATCATGACTTCTGTGAGCTCATTGCGCGGGACCAGGGAGGTTGGTTAACATGTGTTGTGGTAATTCCACTTACAAGGTTGTTAGCACGTTTTCGTTTTATTACTGGAAAATTGGCTATTCTTCCTTTTTTTTTTTTTTTTTTCTTCCAGCATGACATGACTTGGCAGCTAAAATATTTTTTATACCAGTCTCAAAGAATTTATTATTTACTTCAATTATATGACTTCTGGAAAGCAATAAATACATAGCAGGCTACCTAGCTTTGAATGACACACAAAAGTGAAACTTCTTTATTTCTGATAATATTTGGATAATCCTCAGCATCCTTTAATCAAACCGTCTCACTGATATTGGGAGTTTGATCTTGCTCCTATTGGGGTTGACCCCAGTGGTACAAATGAGTAGTTACTTTGGTTCTTACTAAGTTAAAGCACTTGACAAAGTCTTCTTTATATTAATTAAAGTAATTTAATCACAGAGGTTCTAAAAGGAGTTAGTTGAGTTGATGCACTCTTGTGTTGCACAAGCAGACTGGACGCTAAATTTGTGAAAAAACACTTCCATGATTGTGATGCAATTTGAGCACCTAAACTGGCTTTCATGTTGGTAGCTCAAATAGTTCTAAGCCTACTCCAAATTTCTGTATTCAGCCCAGGTTAATTTATCTTCTTTCTCAGTTGCTCTTTAGGCACTTCTCCAAACTAAGCTAGTTTGAAGCTGTTTTATGTGTAATAATCTGAAAAGCTAACTCTTTTCAGTGTGATGAGAATGGAAAGATTTTACTCCGAATAGTTTAAAAAACCCAAAACAAACCACTTTCTCTTCAAGGAAATTTTTCAGATTTTCCTTTCCCTAAAATTTTAGTGGGGAACTGAGGATGTGTGTGTGTGTGTCATGGAGGTGCATTTGTGTGCGTGCGTGTTCAAATGCAAACAGGCAAGGACCTTTGCCTGAGTGTTGTCTTTTAATCGTGAATGAATACGCGATTATTCATGTACAGCTCTATACCTATTATATGGCACTGTAGGATCAGGACTTCTCATAATAATTGACACAGGTACACATCCGGTTTTCACTTTTTTTTTTGTTAGTGAAAGATCATTCCTCTTTCTTTTTTCTTTTTTTTAGCTTGATTCACTATTCTTTTATCTTAATTTCCTGCCTGAATTGATTTCCTGCCTGAATTGATAGAGCACACTAATTACTGCATACAAATCCAATCTCTGTCTCATGAATCAGAACTCTAATGCTTGATTTAAGATTGCCATAATTTATAGTGAGAGAAGTGAGGCAAAGAAATGGTGGGGGTTTTAAAAGATTACCTTAAAATACTTTTTTTCTTAATATGCTAAATTTCTTCAGAGTTGCATAGGACACTGGCTAGAAGTTTAGTAACCTGATGGAAAGGTTTTGTGAGAGCCTTCATGTGTTTGGTGAAGACTGCAGGGCATCGCTGGTGACATAGATTTTCTCCAATGGCTAGTCCAGTCAGCATCAACCAGAGACCATAACATGTCCTGTGCTAGCCTAATAAACAGTAAGCTGAGTTCCATACCAAAACAACAGGGCAACATAACTGAGACTTGGTACCAAACACTTTGAGTCATTTTGACATAGCTCATTTGTCAGCCTGAGACTTCTAGTTCCAAAGATAAAAGTAATTATTTTTTTACTTTTGCATTTTTCTTTAAATATACATGAAAAATATGCTAGGTGGCTGCTAGCTAGAAAATTAAACATTAACCTGAAATGGGAATAAAGCACTAGCATAGGACAGTGTCTTGAGTATTGATATACACAGCAGAAATCTAATCTAATTTGCTGAAGATTAAAAAGAAAATAAATAAATCTGGCTTGTGTCATTCTACCGGGGTACTGTCTCTGTATACTGTTTGTTACATTACTTTGTGTATTTCTTTAGAAATGTGAAGCTCTGTTCATCTTTCCCTTCTGGAAAGGAGAAAGATCTTTTGTCTCCACTTCCTTTTTTCCTTTCAGGTAGCTATGATAGCTGTTCTAAGCTTTGTTTTACCTACCTCCAAATGCTCTTTGTTGTACTTTCCCTAGCTTTGTATGTTCCTGTCTGCTTTTGTTTGTAACTTTTTTTCAGAGTTCTTCATACTGCTGTCCAAGTATTTGAGAGAAGTTGATCTGTGTCTGTTAACTGTTGAATAGGTGCAAGAATAACCTAGAAGTTGTCTGTATTTCTATGGCATGTTTATCTTTTGGAGGCTACATAAACCTCTGAATCAGGAAAAAAAAGAAGTCCTGTAGCTGAAAAACTCATTGACATGTCCAGAGTTAGATACTAAGAGTTAATTTTCTTTTTTCCGTTGTAAGCAGTGTGCATAATCAAAGGCTTGAGGATAGGATAAAGATAAACAGACAACAATGAGCAAACAGGGAAAGAATTAACAAGATATATGGAGGATTTACTTCCATAAGATGTCTTGCTGGCATTAAAGTAATTTTTTTTTTTTAACATAAATAATTAATGATTTCTGCAGTGTATTGATCTGAAGCCAGGGGAATTCAGTTGGCTCTCTGATGGCTTGAGTATATACTCTAACATCAGTATAGCAGCAACAGGTATTAAATCTGTATTGAGATACCAAACATAATTTGTATTGTAGGTCAAATAGTCTGAGTAAAATATATCATGGGCACTTAATAATAAGTGGAAAAAACCATCATGACCTATTAGCAAGGTACTGACATAGAAATAATTCTTGTGTCTTTTTCTTGCTAAACCTATTCTTAATATTATGCCCTAAAAATCTGATGCATTTTTCAAAGGCTGATATGGCTAATTTTGACAAACACTTTGCATTTTTTACATTGTAGAGTATTCTTCTGTGATTTTTTTCTTTCTTTTTGTTTCTGATATTGCTATGTAAGTGTAACTTCAGCCTCTTATTTCAGTGCTCTGTGACCAGTGATATAGATTTTCCAAAACAAGTCATCCCACTGAAGACTCTCAATGCTGTTGCTTCTGTGCCTATAATGTATTCTTGGTCTCCCCTTCAACAGAATTTTATGGTAAGTTTAAAAAAGTGCTCGGAGGAGGAATGTAAGGAGAAAAGGGAAGGGTTAATTTTAGAAATAAGCAGCAAAAATCTGTTGCCAGTTATGCTCCTTATCTTTTTGGTATTCGTAATAAGGCAGTAATAATCAGAAATAGGCTCCCCCAAATAAAATGGGGGGGGGGAAGGTAACTTTGATTGAAAACTAAACCTCTTCCTCAGTGAACCTAAATATCTCTAAAACCTTGCTGTAAAGAGACCCTAAGTTTATTTAATTCAAGTGATGAATTGTCTTGTATGGTATTTAGCAAATGTAGATTTATTTGAAAGCATATAGTTAGTGCAATGAGAAATATTTTCTGAGGGGTATGAATGTCTTTATGTAAGACTATCAACCAATGTATCTGTAGCAGAATAGTAATTCTTATGGAATAGAGAACTTAATCCTGAAATAGTGTCCTCACATAATGGTCATTCTTATATAGCAACTGAGTATAGCCTTATCTTCTGATTAGCTTCACTGTATGCAAAAGCCATAATGTTAGATTTCTGATGTAGGTATTCGGCTTATTTGAAAAGCTTAGCTTATTACAAATCTTTGTTACATCGTTTTGTATATGATCACCTTTGCTGACTGGGTATTACAATAATAATTGTAGCAAAGTGATTTAAATAACCAGCTTTATCAGTAGATGTACAGAGTTCTTCCACACATTTTTCTACTTGCTTTCAATTCACCACTGTTTGGATACTTTGCACTGCTGCAGAATCATGATCAGCAGGAGAGTTTACATTTATTTTCTTAACAATAGAAGGTTCTTCTGTAGTATTGGAAGATACAGCTAAGTATCAAGGTTCATAAATTCTACTGACAAAACATGGGAGTATTAATGCATTTTGTCGATATGCAGACAAAAAGAAAAGTCAGTGGCATTCAGATTAAATTGTGAGGCATGTTTCTGTGCTTGCTGTTTAGACAACTTGAATTTAGAGTCTTTTTGTATCATATTTTCTTATCTCTGGCAAAGCAATGAAGGGGTGGGTTCCCTTGCACATTGCTGTGGAAGAGAAGGAAGGAAGGGAGAATGAACTTATCAAATGCAAGCTTCCCAAAGCTAGGTAGCTTCCTGTGTTTCAGTAGTAGAAGCTTTACAGAAACACCCTGCTAACCTTAACGTTAGGAGCTAGTGTCAGTATCCTGAGCCAGTCACCACTAGCACAAAAAATTGTTGAGGGTTTTGTTTTATTTATCTAGTTAATGGTAAATGTGGTAAAGCAGTGAAGCCAGTTAGTTAACTGTGATAGCTAGACACTTGTAGATTGTGAAAATGGCAATGGAGAAATGGTCAATTGAAAACGCAATTTTAAATTGTTTGATTATAACTGTTGTTACTAGGTAGAGGATGAAACAGTTTTACATAACATTCCGTATATGGGAGATGAAGTGCTTGACCAGGATGGTACCTTTATTGAAGAACTGATCAAGAACTATGATGGGAAAGTGCATGGAGACAGAGGTGAGCCCAAACACTCAGGTATACTAATCACTTCTTCCTATATAAATAATTGTCAGTGTTGCTTGTTAAGGCCTGATGCTTGATTGTTACAGTAGTACCTCTAAAATCCCTACATTGGGTATAATAGACTTCCTTAATTAAATGTATTGCTTTGCATTTTCACAAGGCTGCAAAGTGTTAAAGTGGTAGTACAGAAAAATTAAACACATTGACTTTTTCCCTAGACCATACAGTGATTCATCATAATGCTTAGATACAACTTGGAGAAGTTCTTGGTCTTCAATTTCATGCTCACAGCTTTGGAATATAATAGTGTAATGTCCCTACATGTGTCCTGAAAGTGGGAGGAGAATTATGCAAAACTCTGATAATAACAATACTTGTGAATGTGATTTGATAGAATAACCTCTTCTGGGTTTTGTGTTGTGTTTTGTTTTGTTGTTTTTTTTTTCCCCTCCCTTTAAGGAAATTATTAGCTATTTAAAAACCTCCTTTCTGTAAGTCAGCTTACAGAGCAAAGTTGTATCCTTCTGTTGCTACACTATATATGTGTATTCTTAGGTGTAGTTTACCTCTTATTCTGTGTGGCAAGCTAGACTACATGCCATGTCATCTGTCTCTTAGTTTGCTAAGTCTGAAGTGAAGTAGCAACCTTTCACTTGCTCTATGTGCCCACTCAGAACTGGCTTTTACAAGCCTGAACTTCACAGTTGCAAAGGTTTCTCTGACTACTCTGCTTCCCCCTTCACAGAAACATTACCCACCCCCAAATGGGGAATTGTTTCTTAAAGTTGGTTATATTCCTGTTAATGCTGGGGTGACTGAGAAAGAGAACCACATTTTTGAGTATTGTGTGCCACTCATGAAGGTTAAGCCTGTGATTCAATAATAAATGTTACTCAGTCCTAGACTAGTCTTGTTAATGTCCTCAGGAGAGCTGGTGCCTTTATATTTCATGAGGAACATGAAATGTTACATGGGTTTTTGCCTTTGGATATTTTTACAGATTTACTGATTTCTGACATCCTTGTCAGAGAACTGGTTATGTCAAAATGGTGACATTACTAGTAAATGTCTTCTATTATTGATTTAATTTATTATTAAATGAGTCTAGCTTATTAAATTAGTCTAGTTTTAAAATTAATCTTGTTTCACCATCTTGAGTCCCAGGTTTATGATGGCAATTACTGTTATTATGGGTCCTTCAAAACTATATATTGAAAGTAGAAAGATGATATTTTAGTCTCCCAATAACTAATATTCTTGTCTGACTGTAATTAAATGTAAATGCTGTGGGAATCTGTAATCCAGAGGCATTCCCATATAAGAGTCAGAATTGTAAACTACCTCTGTAATTGCACTTTTGGAAGAGAAATTCATACTAACCTGTGTGTGTATATTAAGAGTTCTGTTTAAAACGTCCAAATGAAGTACCTGCCTGTTTTCATTGTCTACACAGAACAAAACTATTAGTTTCCTTCAAGTTATAGTTTGACATCCAACCCCAGTCCAAGTTCAAAAGGGTGGTGATAAGCTCTATAGTTCCCACACAGCTCATGGTTATTTTTTGAAAAATAACAGCAGTCTCTGTCAACATTAACTACGATTTTCCTCTCTGCCTTATTGTCTATCTGTGCTGCCCTCTCAATTTTACAGCAGAATATAAGCTAATAAGCAGATATATGCAGCATTGTATCCTTCAGTTTTCTCTTGAATTTTTTGTATATAACTGTATTCTTTTTTTATCACCTTGCCAGTGAGTTCTATAGTGGGGAAGTAGATGCTATGGAACTACCAACCAAAAGTCTCTCTGGAGATTCCTAGGTGTCCAATGATAGCTTCATAGATTGACTGCATGCATTTCCAGGCTGGCTTAACCCAACCATGTTGCAATTGGGATTCTGGCATAAAATCTCTTAAATAGTCTAGCTAGTTAGAAATTTTTTTTGTCTTCCAAGAAAGAGAGATTTATTTATGTCTACTGGTATGAAGCACAAGGAGTCAGGAGAAGAAAAATTTCAACAGGTTTCCTTCTCCCCTTCCCAGCTGTCAGTCTAAGAAATAAATACTGAGTATTTTTAACTCTTCTCAGTTCATACATTGGAACTAAGAGGGGAAAAATGCAAAATTGTTTTTCATAAATTACAGCATTTGCCATAATTCAATGTAAGTGTAGGGAGGATTAAAAATATTTTGTATATGCATTGTGCTTTTCTGTTCACTCCCAATTTTGCTGAATTTCAGAATGTGGATTTATCAATGATGAAATATTTGTTGAGCTGGTCAATGCACTTGGTCAATATAGTGATGATGAAGATGATGATGATGGAGATGACAATCCTGATGAAAGAGATGACAAGCAAAAAGATCGGGAAGGTAACAGGATGGGTATGTCTGTCTGCAGACTTTAAAAATTAAAACCCAAACCCCTTTTTCTTTAATCACTCAATAAATTTGTTCAAACCCTTCTACTTGATAGTTCTCAGGTCTAAAGTAGCATCATTTTCTTCATCATTTCCTTTGCCATTTAGTTCAAGAGTTGTATGGAGGATACTACAAAAGGCGCTTTTGCCAATTTTTGTTTATCTGCATACTGAGACAGTCAAATGCACCAAAAATCAGTTTGGTATCTGTCTAATAAATGCTTTGGTACTCCTCAGAAGATGAAATATCATTATTCTAAAGTAGGCAGAGTTCTGAATTGCCATCTCCATCTGCTGGTGAAATAATGGTTTCTCCAAATTTTACTAGTAGAGTTCTCTCAGCAGGAAAGATCACTTAATGCAGTTTGTCTGTAATTTAGAAATAAAAACCTTTGCTCCTTTTTTATTAGGATTTTGAAGTCCCCCTTTCTCTGAACACCTCCTTGAAGTAGCAAACAAGCAGAAATAAAATTTTTTGTTTTCAAAATTTTTTTCTTCTTTGACAGAGAAAGAAAGCCACCCACCTCGGAGATTTCCTTCTGACAAGATATTTGAAGCCATTTCCTCGATGTTTCCAGACAAGGGTACAGCAGAAGAATTGAAAGAGAAGTAAGAAAGTATTTCTTAAGATACATTGCTGTGTTGCTTTATGAAACAAAGATTCCTTGACTTCGTTAAATATTTGTTGATTCAGAATGGTCCCCCTTGCAGCTAGGTTCTGTGGCAGTTGTGTAACTTTTGCAAGTGATACTTGAAGGGAATTGGCTGTTCCTGCTGAGTCAAAAAATAGAGGTGTTTATTAGCCTTCCTTTCAAACTGTTGAAAAGTGACTGCTTGCATGTGTTTAATAATCTTATTTAATAATGTTATTTTTTTTGAGGTGGTAAAATAAAAGCTTCTGTTTAAAAAAAAAGTCTCCTTTTTGGAGTTAGTGAGTAATAGTGAGTAATATATATGAGGACATGATGGTCCAGAAAACAAATGCATTCTTTCCTAGCCAATTTTGTATTTGTATAAATGAGTATGGAATTAATAACTTGTCACGTCACTAACAGATTGACCTTTCTAGCTGGCACATTTTTCTTAATTTTTTTTTTTTAATTTGTCACTGAAAATGCAGTGGTACTGGAATCAAAATTTTTTTAAATTTTTTATTATTATACTAAATAAATAACTTCTATTTCTTTCTTTTAAGATACAAAGAACTCACTGAGCAGCAGCTTCCTGGAGCTCTTCCTCCTGAGTGCACACCAAACATAGATGGACCAAATGCGAAATCTGTTCAGAGGGAGCAAAGTCTACACTCTTTTCACACACTCTTCTGTAGACGCTGTTTTAAATATGATTGCTTCTTGCATCGTAAGTACAATTATAGCCTGCTTGTATATCTCTTACTTTTTTGCAAGTCAGGAAACTTAAAAGTACCATAAGATGCAATACAGAAGGAAGGAAAGAGAAGAAAAAAATAAAAGCAGTAATATTGCTAAAGTTTACGAAAACATCTTGTCCATGTTGTCATCATTTTGCAGTGAAAACTATACCTCAGGAAACTGAATGCACCTCTTTGGGGTAGTTTGTTATCCTTTTTGCATTTAGGAGTTCATATAGAAATTCTGGCTGGGACCAACCTGTAATGTTACTTCTCTTTTTATAGTCTTCAAGAAAACTACATTGTTTTCTACTACTGTTTCTGTGTTACATTTTCTCAGTTTGTGCATGGAGAATGGAATATATTTCTCCATAATAATTCCTGGTTATTCATCAGACTTGCTTCATTTTCCAGCAGGGAGAATGAATATCCATGAACAGTTTTTTTTATTTTTCTTCTCTCAGGTTACTTTCTAGCCACTTTACTTGTACCTGGTGATTTGAAGAATTGTTTCGGACAGTTGAGTTTTAGAAATTGTGATATTCTTTCCACTGAATTGCTTTCATGTTGCCCCATTCTTCTGGGGGAAGGATTTAACAAGAGCGTTAGTAATGATGTTAGTTTCCATTTGCAAAGTGTAAAGAGTAGGAGAGATTCTGAAGTGCTACTTGAGACAATTCTTTCTCTGAGAATGGACTCAAACATAAAGGGGAACCTAAGAGTCAAATATGAAGTGGTTTTGACTTGCGGTTGAATTCTATGATGGCGTCTATTTCAAATTAATTTTCTCTTTTGACTTAACTGTTCATTTGCATGTTCCACTGAGTGTGCACGCATGTTCATTTGGAAATCTTTGTGCTTTGTCAGCAGCTCCTCATGCAGCACACGTGCAATCTGCCTGTATTTGTACTTCACACTGAAGGCTTTACCCAGGGTTGCTGCTTTTTAGTATCCCTTAGTTGCCTTTCAGTTTGAGAAGGAACTGGAGTTGTCAGATGGTGGGGAGGGGAGAAGCTTTTCCTGTTCCTAGTTTCTTCAGTATTTGTGGCTTTTGGAGTTAGGTCTTAGTTTCACTTTCTGCTTGCATTCTGTTGTCAGGCCTTGCTTGAAAATATAAAGAAGCTCTTACTTCTGAATAATATTTAAGAACATTAAGTTTCTGGAGGCATAGCTGCAGCCTTGTCCAGGCAGCTTCAACACAGGCATGTTCTGTGAAGCTGCAGGTTTTGCTTAGAAGTATCTTAGTTGCCTGGATGACTCATTCCAAGAAGTGCTGTGTGCAGCCTTAGTCTGTAGGACAGGGAAGTGAAGCTGTATACTAGCTCTTGGCAAATCCATTTGTCTGGCAGTGGTTTTATGAGTTCTTGACACTCAGCAGTCTAGCAGGGAGACTGAGTGCCAGTCTAGTTTTACTTCTTCAAAAGGATTTTGGTTTTTAAGTCAACAAGAAAGCATTGTCCAGACATAGTAAGAACAAACTTTTTACAGGAGCACCCCAGAAGATTTTTAGGTAATTCTGCAGCAGTGGTTTTAGGCCATTTTTCTCACTAGTTTTATAAACTCGTAGGATTTTTCCAGTGAAGATATAGGCTCCTCTAAAATACACATATATTTGATTACTTAGACAGTTTATATAGATTTGCTTTCCATAGTCATTTTTACAGATTGTTAGAAGTAGAACTGAAAGGATCCACAGACCACATTTCAGCACCTGGGAGTACTCTGGGGAGCCTGGTATTACCAGTCCACAGTTTTGAGGCACCAGCTCTGTGAGACTTCTTTTAGTGCTGTGAAGGACAGATTCATAGTGTTGTTCATTTTGACATGTTCTTAAGTGGCAGATTCAGCCAGTGACAAAGTCCAGAGTCATGTCACTGATCAGCTGAAGGACTTCAGTTCTCACACCAGCAGCATCCTTTAAGCTGAAAATGTTGAGCCCCCTTCCCTTGTGTTCATAACCTTCAGATGGAAGACAAAGTGTTAGCTGTGTATGCTAAAGACTGCCTAAGTTCTTGTTGCTGGTGACTTTTGATAAGTCCCTTAAACAAGTCAGTATTCTTTCCAAAGTGGTGTATGTCCAAGGCTTCATTTTAAACCATGCCTCGTACTTAAAAAGGCCCAAACTTTAAGTCATCTCTTCAGGTTTTCAGGGCCATAGTAGAAAGAAGGAAGAATAACACTTCCACTGTGGAGGCATTCAAGATGTACCTTTGTGTCAAGATGGAGTGTGAAATTACCGGTTATGATAATGCTCCTTATGGCAGCTTATGCAGCACGTGCATTGTCACTGATAAAAATATACTTGATAGTTGCAAAGAGATCTCTTGAAGCTTGATTTACACATTCACTGTGTTAGCCTCCAGACTGGACGCTGAATGTAGTAAACTGATGCTTCAGTCACCATTCCCTGAAGACATACCCAAATCCCACCTCTACAATGACTAGTCACTGCTTTGGATGCATTGCTTCCTTCTGCTTATGTCTATAGTAACACCAAAGAAAGAGGATGGTTTTCTGTCTGTGTGTCTGTCTGCTTGTCTGTCTAGAGCTAGGAATTTATCTGTTAAAAACTGAGAGAGTCAGTTGTATGACCTCTTTGATTTCTGTGAAATTTTAAGACTGTTGGTCAAAATCCACCTGCTTCATTGCTGGGAATAAGTAACTCATCAAAAAAAAAAAGACTACTTTGGTTATTGAAAGGCTGCACTAGCAATTTTGAGTGTCTGCAACAATTTACCAATTTAGCGTTTTTAAAAAGTTGCTAACATTTCTACTAGACTCTAATCAGTTGCCCCTATGTTCTACTTCATGCAGTTGCCAAGCACTACAGGATGATGTCCTGGCTTCTGCAGATGACATTTTTGATGAATTACTTTGGTAATGTGGTGGGCTACAGTGATCAGATTTGTACTTTGAAAGGCACAAATCTCTAGAGAAGGCATAGAGAATTAAAAAAATACAGGAATCCTATTAGGACTGGTTTTGATTTTTTTGTAATCCCCCCTCTTTGATTCCTCTTTTTTTTTTTTTTTTTTTTTTTTTTTTAGGATTAGCCTTATTTTATGTAGTTTCAATCTTTGTTCTAGAACATTTGATTTAAATATTGGAAAAGTTATCATTAGATTTTTAACGTGTCAAGTCCCCTTGACGACCTGGCAATCCCTTTATGTGCAGGTGATGACATTACTGAAAAAACTTGTGTACCGACTTCATTTGCTGACAGCAAGGAATTATGCCTAAATGTCTGGACTAACAAAGAATTTAGAAGAAGGAAAAATATCAGGTAGGGAGAATTTCCCAAATAGCTTGACTGTGAAGCAAATGTACATTTCAGGCTAAACTGTTGCCTGTGTACTTTCACATTATGAAAAATATGAGAATTGAGCCCATTGGGGATGAGACAGGTAATAAATCTCAAAGACAGAAAACATGCTCAGTGAAAGAGTTTTAGAATGACTTTCTTAAGGAAATTATTGAAGAAATACAGAGCTTAGTTATTTAGGAAATTCTGCAAAGTCTTCTTTGATTTTTTTAAAAAGAATTCCTACTGATATTTGCAAGATTCATAATACAGCTATACAAACAGTTTTATTCTTGTTCTGGGTCCTTTCTTTGTAACAAGCCTCCCAAAAAATAACTTGCAACAGTGGTGGTAGATTCTGACTATAGTTGTCAGTACTATACTATGTTGGGTGTTTTTGAAATAGTGGAATACAAGATATGATTCTAATATTAAAGTATCAGTATTTTGTATTTTTGAGGTATCACTGGTTTAAAAAGTCAAAAGTTGATTTGTTTCACTGCATTACGAACTAAACATTTCTTCATTGTCTAAAGGAAAACAATTTTAAAAAATAAACACTCATTGTAGGACCTCTACAAATGAACTTGAGAGAAACGTTTGCATCTGCAAGTGACATAAAAAGAATAGTTTTGGTTTCTGTACGTTGCAGCAGTCTGATATGGATCATGGCTTGCAAATGTTTTACTGTTCTTTTGCATTGTTGCAAAATTATTTTTCTTGTGGTATGAAAAGAGGGTAAAACAGTTATGTGAAAAAAACCCTGAATGAATGGAATGGTATACTGTGCAAATTTAAAGATGCAGTGTTTTTCTGGGTTTTTCCCCTCTACTTTTGGGTGGGGGGGGCTCCCAATCATCTCATTGTTTTTTAAAAGCTAGAAAAAGGGTGGAATAACTTGGCATTAAATTGCAAGGTTTCTTTGTTATTTAACATATTTTACCTACAGAATGTATAAACACTTCGAGGATACGTGAAACATATGAGAAGTTACATACCACAGAAAAGCATTTAACTGGAATATGGGGGAAGAAAGAGTGCTAATAGCAACAATATGCATAAATTACATGCCTATAATTGCTTGTAAATAATTTTTACATACCTATATGCCCATATGTGGAAAATTGAAGCTTTTTTTGTGTTTCCAGGTTTATAAAATGTAATATATTTCTCTGGAGAAAGTGATGCAATATTTAACTAGTGATACTTTTATATTGTTTATACCTTTTTAAGAAAGCCTTGGAAGAACATATTGCTTCCCTGAGGTTCCCATGTGCTGCTGTCATTGATACAGACATAACATTATAGAATTTATGATTTGATTTCCAGCACACCTTCCCTTATGGGAGGGGAGCATGAAGTGATTGGTTCCAAGACGGAGTGGTTTCATCAGAGAAGCTCTCTTAAGAAGTGCTCACCACCACTGGTCACCCTCCCCACTGGTGCCAAAACAAGTGCTTGTGGAGCTACGCTGCAAACCAGATCACTGAAATGAGATTTGCTTTTAAAAACGTTGTCTGTGAAGACATATGTGAGCTCTGCCCACATTCTTTAAAAGGGAAGGAACTGCATTTAAAAAGTTCAGTCTTGAGAGTATAGTGGACTATTATAAAGAGAAGCCTTGTACACAGTCTAGAAACGAGTAGGAAAGCCTATGGTGGTGGCTTATTGAAGGAGAAGGATGTGTGTGGTGTTGGTACGGAACAGCCCTTATGGATTAATATGGGTAAGAGGGGAGCGAGGGATTTTTTCTTTCAGTTTGAACATTAGCACTTTTTATTCACTGAGCATTCAAAATCTTACAGTTAAGTTACAGTTGTCTAACTGCAACTGTGGTAAAACAGCAGAATAAATGCTTTTACAGTGCTTGGGAATCATGCATTTTCAGATGGGCGTCTTTTGTAGGCCTTCATGGAGCTTTAGAAAACAGTCAGCTAGCTAGCACGGAGTAGTGGGGTTTTTTGTATGTGTGGTTTTTTTTGTGTGGTTTTTTTTTTTTTTTTTTAAATTGAGTGCATTCTCCATTTTTGTTCCTTGCAGTTGTGTATGCCACTGCTAGCACATTTAGGGGGAAAGAATTTATTGATATCTATCTATCTATATAAATATTAAAACCAAAAAATTTGTTCCTTGAGCATGGAGGGATTTAAAAAAAAAAAAAAGAGAATTGCATAAAACTAAGGATGGTATTTCTAAAAGCTACTAATATAATTTGAAAACATGAGTATATGAGTTCTGGTGAGAGTCTAGCTGCAGTTTTTCCAGGCTTCAGTTAAGTAAGGGATACAGAAGAGCTCTCAATACCTCCAGCAAAACTGGGAAAGTCAGTCTCTCGAAAACATCCTGCTGGGAGGCAGAGATTGCATGGGGGAAAGCTGGTAGAGATGAGCTCTGGCAAAGGGAATGGGTAGGAAACTCTGCCATCCTGTTATAAAGGTGCTCATATTGCATCTGTAACATACCCAGTTTGGCTCCATGCTGGTCACTGTTCTGCAACTTATACAGAGCTGTACAGAGTCCATCAGATACATGAGCAGACACTTCTCTGCAAGTTGCAGACTTAACTGTGGTTGTTCTGATCCACAGTGACTGTGTGATGCTAACTTATTTTTACCCTGCAGCTGGGATATAGGAACAACACTTACCACCTGTCAGCTTAGTTGGAGTGCTGATAAACTAATAGAGCAAAAATGCTTAGGTGTCCTTCTTGCTAACAAAAATGAAAAGTGGGTCCACTACCGTTCCAAAGTGTGTGGGGTTGCATTTTCTGACAAGATAGAAATTGTACACCTGAATCTTACAGATTGAGAGATGATCATGCATTAATAGGAGAAGCCCTGAATAATTCTGTTTAACATGGTAACAGAAGTAAAGTCTGTTCTGTTTGTTGGGAACGGAGATAGAGGAGGTCTTCCTTGATGCATGAAACAAATGTGATGATTGTCTTCACTGATGTAAATGGGCATATGCGAAACTTACCTGGTGCTGTCTCTGTGTATTTAAGTGGTAAGTCAAATGTCACTAGATGGGGTTTATTCTGTGGGTTTTTTTTCCATTTGTTATCATTTTATTCTGGTTTTAGTAAAGTCTTGGTAAACCTTGTGCTTTGGATACTGTTTGAGGTTAGCTATTTAATGTATTTTTTTTTTATATTAAAACTTACAAATGTGATGTTTTGATTCAACAGCATTCCATGCAACTCCTAATACTTATAAACGAAAGAATACAGAAACAGCATTAGATAATAAGCCTTGTGGACCGCACTGTTACCAACATCTGGTAAGATAATTTCATTTGTTAAATTCACTAAGTGCTAGTGCTAGCTGCAGTATAGCAAGTTACACTTAGTGTAAGGTCATGTTGGATATAAGATAGCGCATATACTTGCGGGCCACCTGCAGTCAAGTATGCTTCCTTCAGTTTGTGCAAAAGAAAAGAGTTAAGCTCTGTTAGATGTAGCCTGAGATATTTGTAGGGAAGAAAGGTTATTGCCTCCTAATAATATGTTGCTGCTATTGTCCAATCTAGTCAAAGAACTGGGTCTTACAGACTTAGCTCTGTTGTAAGTTATATCACAACTAAAAATTATAAAGGTTTTTTAGTTTGTTGAAGTTGGATTTCATCCAGTATTTGTGCTCTTAAGAAATAACAGGATGGAAATTAAAGGGGTGAAATTCTTAGTAATATAATTTCAAATCTCTCTTATACTTCCCCTAAATTTTTTAGTGTGAGAAACTGTGTAATTTTCCAGGCTAAAAACTTGCTACGCATTGTCATACCCCTTTCCACTAGAAAACAAATTACCAGTGATTGCATTTTAAAAAATGCAGAATGCATATTGTTTAAGTGCCATGTGCAAGAAGAGTTCTTGTATTTGAAGGGTGTTCTCTGTGGGAAATTCTCATTTTTTCTGTCATCTGGGAAAATAGAAATTTACTACTGAATTATTTTTCACTTGGCAGCCGGAATGAAAGTGGAACTGAAATACTGACATAAGTACTTTGTAAATGTAGATTTTTTTTTTTTATGATAGTAGCAGAAGTATTTATGTTCATAGTTAGAGTACATTTAACTGGTATTTGTGTGTACATGATTAAGTTGTAGAATAATGCAAAGTAATACAGTATGCAAGTAGAACGTATTCTCCCCCAATCCCTGACCACAGGTGACAACACTTCTTAATTCTTTTACTGAAAATTTTAATGTTTTGTGTTTAGGAAGGTGCAAAGGAGTTTGCAGCTGCCTTGACTGCTGAGCGTATAAAGACACCACCAAAGCGCCCAGGTGGCCGCCGAAGGGGAAGACTTCCAAACAACACCAGCAGACCCAGCACGCCGACAATAAATGTATTGGAATCAAAAGACACAGATAGTGATAGAGAAGCTGGAACTGAAACTGGAGGAGAAAACAATGATAAAGAAGAAGAAGAAAAGAAAGATGAAACATCCAGTTCCTCTGGTAAGGCTAGTCAATGCTTCTTTATTCAATTAGCTGCAGTGCTTGAGAGGATAAACAAAAAACAATAAAACAAAAAAACCAAGTTGAGCCACGCGATCCTAGAAACCATGTATTTGGAATGTATGGAAGTGAGTGAAAAGACAGGGTAATAATATGAGTTTAATCAAATAGAGCACTGTAAGGAAATTTCCAGATTGTCTTGATTTATGTATAGAGGTGAGATTGTGTAATTTCAATAGCTACTGTTACCTAATTTTTACCTTCTTTAATAGGTATGTGAAAAGTGCTCTTTTGTTGTGGCACTTAGACAACAGAAACCTGGGATATTTAAAACTATTATTATTAAATATTATTTTAAACTATTATTATTATTAACTATTTTTAACATTAATAATTTGACATTTTTAAGGGCTGTGTAAAGTTTTTGAAACATAGCCTTACATTGACCTATACTTTCCATTATTTATTACAGAAGCAAATTCTAGGTGTCAGACACCAATAAAGATGAAGCCAAATATTGAGCCTCCAGAGAATGTGGAATGGAGTGGTGCAGAAGCCTCAATGTTTAGAGTTCTTATTGGTACCTACTATGACAACTTCTGTGCAATTGCCAGACTGATTGGGACCAAAACGTGCAGGCAGGTAAGAAGGGAAGCTACTTACTAAAGATGATAGCATTTTACTTTTAAAACTGAAGTATAGAAATACTAGTATTGATTACTAAAAGAGAAAATGAATTAATTTTCTTGGTTTTTCCCAAGAATGCTATGATCCAGAATTCATGCCACAAATATATAGACATTAGTTTTAAAACTGTTTTTAAATTAAATTTACAGGAGGTTTAAATTAGACTATCTGTTCTTAAATAACAAAAATAATCAACTTTAAATGTATTGAAAAGAGACTATGACTGGATATAATCTGTAAGTTGTTGGAGGAAATCATACTAACTTAGAAAATGAGCAACTTTCTACTAGTGAGAGATTTATCGTGGATGTATTATGGTATCTCTTGTTAGGTGTATGAGTTTAGAGTAAAGGAATCTAGTATTATTGCTCCAGTCCCTGCTGAAGATGTTGATACTCCTCCCAGAAAGAAGAAAAGGAAACACAGGTAAATCTGTTACTAAATAACCTTAGCATAACAATGAATCAGAGATACAGGGGATCAGAACAGAAAGTATTTTGGAGGAAAAGTCGTGCAACTCTTCTCCTTTTGCTTCCAAAACCAAAATTTGGAGCAATAAAACAAAATGGCGTTTTGGTTTCAGACAAAAGTATTACCGCATTGACAAGTATAACCTTCCACTTCCCTTCTTTTTAATCTCTTTAACAGCCAGATTTTTGTTAGCAGATTATTGTAGGTGTACTGCTGCAAGTAGTCAAACTAAGTTTAGATTAGAAATATTATACGCAGCTTCTTACAACATTCAAGATATTGTGGTATAATATTGTTTGCAGCAATAAATACTAAATTTACAAGCATTATAATGGGATTCAATAATGATTATATAGTATTTTGTAAATTAAAACTTAACTTTTTTTATGGTGAAGTGAATTTCATTAAGATTCAGATGATCAGTAAGCAAAAATATTGTAGCAAACTAGTAGGATTGCCTTTTTTTAGTTTGAGACACTATTCTGTTGTAGCACCCCAGTTTCATTATGAACTAGAACTTCAACTAAAGAACCAGGTTAACAAGTTATTATTTGAAGTGAAGCTGCAATGAAGAACAAAATCAAGCTTTTTGCTGGAGCCACAAAGACCAGCTGAAGCAATTACTGTTGGAATTTTAAATGTGGTGGCTAATGTCTGTCAGTGAAATGCATTTTTCTTTGAGAATCCCAAAGTTTGAAAAGTGCGACTCTGCGTTGATTTTTTTTATTCCCAGGGATGAGAACATAGGAGATAAAAAGCTGCCTGAAAATTAGCAAGAACATTTCTTTCTGCAAGCAATAAGTACACTTTTTTCCATAAAGTTTCCTTTTTCTCCCTTTAACTTTCCTTATTTTCCCCCAAGTTTGTTCTTCCAGTTCTTCTCCCATCAATTCTTCTTGCTTCTGTCTTAGCTTGTCTAAGTATATTTATTATTTCCAGGCTTAGTGAAATTCCTGATACTGGCTCAAAGATACTGTTGACGTGGAGTAGAATGTTTCTGCTTTGTAGCATAGAGGCAGCCGATGTCAGCTAGGAAAAGATTCAGTGAGCATCTGGAAGAGATTCTGTTCTCAGCAAAAACTATTGATTTAATGCTCTTGGCACAGTTTTCAAGTTTTTGGGCATTTGGTGGGGTGGCTATTTAAATCTGGAGTTATTAGCCATAGTGCAAGTTTGGAATATTGTAGTTGGGAATTAGCTTGCTTTCAGATTCATGCAAATTGCTATAAAAATGGTGCCACTACATCTGTTTGAAAAAAGCAACTAAAAGGCTCAAATGTATTTTGAAGCTGAAATGGATTATATGGTTACCAGGTTGACATTATTGTTTTGGAGGAGTTTTGAGAGGTTTTTTTTTGTTTGTTTGTTTTTTTCTGAACAAATAAAAGCACATACCATTATGTGGGGTTTCTTGATGTTATTTTGTTCTTATTAGTTGCCAGTATAAAAACTTTTATGCTAGCAATTTAGTTTTGAAATGCCTTTTAATTCTTTTAACTCTGATTGAAGGAAGTAGAAAATTTTTTTATTTAATTTCACAGAATACGTGGTAATCAAGCTGTCTCCATTATTCTATGTGCAGTAGCCTTTTAAAAAAAGGAAAACCTTTTAGCCTGCCTACCTACTACTGTAATCTGAGCACTATCTGAAGATGTCATGCAACTAGCAATTGGGAAAACCATCTGGAAGTCTTTCTCTGTTTCTTACATTTCTTTGAGTTGAGTTTACTCACTCCTAGAGTAAATCTAGTCCTAGAGCCAGGAAGGCCCTTCTGTCCTGTTTGCACTTTTCCATTGCAAGGCACTTACATGTGGAAAACCTGGAGACCAGTATGTGTGGTAGACTGCCTTTGAAGAAAAGCAGCAGCAGATTTTCTTGCAAGACTTCGCCTATTTCCCATGCAATCTTGGTGCCTGTATAGGGATACTGACCATCTAGCTGGCAAGACTATACCCCTCTTGGATAGTAAAAGATATTCTCTCCCTCCTTCCAATGCCTTTTTTGTTAGATAGCCATAATAAGGCTGATCAATGAGAAGAGAAGACTTTTTCAGAGAGCCAGTAAGTGTTAGAGCCTGTCCTATGTATCAGAGATTAATCTGGTGGTTTGTGAAAGCTCTGCTTTGCTGGAGGAGTAAGTACTTTGCACAGAAGCCAATAGAAAAATCTGAACCAGAAAAGAATTCAGAAAAGCATGAGCATATGCTGGAGGGAGAGTACTTCAGTACTGTTTATTGTCTTGCGTGTATTTTTTTTCTATTGCTGGGAGCAAAATTGTATTTGCTTTAACTAATCAGCACTCCTTCCTCTGGATTGGTAAGGATCTGTTATTGATTGTAGGGCCATGTAATGCTGCTTCTTGATTATTTTTGTTATCTTCCCCTCCCTCAGCCCCTATTCAGATGCAAGTTTACTTAGTAAACTTTATTTGAAAGTATTTTCTTTTTTTCCTATATTCTCATTTTCCTCCTCCTGTCCCTACCTTCCGCTGGACTGCTCTTCACTGCATGCTTGAATAGCTCACGTGGTTCTGCCTAGAGTTTTTATAGGGATTTGAAGTCTCACTATTATCAGGCAAAAGGTGCAGCTGAGGCATTGGCACAGATATTCTTATGTGCCAGCTGGTTGGAAGGCTGAGTCTTAGAGTGGTGGGGAGGCTGTGGATAAGATACGATTTAGGAGACTGAAAAGAAGTCTTTGAGTGATGCCAGAAAATCAAACACTGCAAAGACTTAACTACATATATTGACATAATTGGCACATATTTTGAATTTGCAGTGCTATTTCTGGTTGCAGAGTATCCCTGTGCAGAGAAAGAAATGCTAGTGTAGCTTCTTCCAAAGAATGCGTTTCTACTGCCTGATTAGCTGATACCAGTGCCTCCTAAAAACACTGGCAAAATCTAGTAGGTTGTTAGCAGAGAACAGTAATATTTTTGACAGCTTCTGTCATAATGCTTCTGGAAACACTTGTTTTCTAAGCTGGCTATCCTGCAGATGTCAGCAACCAGATGTACAAATCCACCTGCTTGCTTGGAAATCTGCCACCAAGTTTTCAATTTGTGTTTTTTGTTGTTGTTTGTTTGTTTGTTTGTTTTTTGTAATGAAGCTTCAAGTTGCTAGTGCTTTCTCAACTTTGTCTTTTCCTTGCCTTTGGTTCCTGGTGCATGGGACCAGATCTTGCCTTTTGTTTCTGAATTGAGATAGCAGATTATAGGGCAGAGAGATAAATTAGTCCACCTTTAGTACAGTACTCATTCAGGCTTCAGCTTTGTGCACTACTCAGGCGAACTTGCAGTGCTTCCTGACAGTTTTTTAACGTTTACAAGCCAATGAATGTACTATTTGATTGAGCTATTCAAACCTCCTGTCGAATTGGTCAGTGTTGGCAGCTTACTTCATGTTGTCCTCTGTCATTCTGCACAATTCATGCTCACACTGTATGTGTCCAGTTCCTTTCTTGCTAGACTCTCTTCCTCCTGTGACACCAATCTGTGTGAAAAGCATGGCTGAGCTGATGCCTTTGCCGTTGTGACTGCCATATTTAATTTTCCATCCATTTTGAGTTGTTAGTATTAATGCTTTGTTGATGGTGGCAATCTTTGTCATATTCAGGTGACCTTGTCCATACAGTCTATACTTTCCTGTGGAAACCAAAAAGTCTCAGGTGGCAACTAGTCACCAAGTGGTATTTTACCTTTAAAGTATTAGGATACTGCCTACCTTAAAAAAAATGCAAAACAAAAAGCTCATACTAACTGCTAATGAAATGGTGTTTTAAGTCTATACACAGAAAGCTTTTAACGGTTTGGTATGCTAGTAGGTCCTTATTATCTTGGGCTGAGAGACAAGCTTTTGTGAAAGAATTGTTAAAAAATACGGTATATGTTACATTGCTGAATACCATCTATCAAAAAAAAAAGTAGTTTGTGCATTAGAGTAATTTAAGTCAAAATTGCACTCCTTTCAATTGTATGGGAACTGTCTTCTTACAAAGAGTCAGCATCTCATAATTCATAAATATATGTTGGTAGCCTTTTTTTCCCCAGAGTTAGTCACTCTTAATAGGAATGTCATCTATTTGTTACAGTGCTCTCTAATGCTGATAGTCTTTGGGTTTGTTCCCTCCCCTCAACCTCAGTTACTTGGACAAGTCTGCCTCTGTTTCTAACTTGTATGGGTTCCTTCAAATGCTTTTCAGAAAGTTGGCTGTTGAGCACTTAATGTTAAGTCTAGTGGTGAAGCTTTGAAAGGGCAACTGCAAAGAGAATCTTATTTACTGAAAGCTGTTGTGTGTGCTGGTGGGGCCAGCACACCATTTGGTTGGTTAAAGTAGAAATTGATATCATGCTTCTATGAAAGAAGTAGCAGCTAAAAAGTCCTATTTAAGTAGTTACAGCAGGATGTATTTTTTCAGAGTGCTGAGTGCAACTTCTGAGTGTTGCCTTCACTGAAGGGCAGAAGAGATTTCGAAGCATTCTGTGCTGGGGATTTTTGAGTACATGTGTTCATGAGTATTTTGGACTGCTTAAGTAAACCTGAACAGGAAGTGAGGTTGCGAGGTGCAGCTAGCAGTGTATTATTTGGCCAGGGAATGAGGCTTCTCCCATATTCTCTTAATGTTGCTATATGACTTACTAAGAAAGTCCAAGAAGTATAAACTTTGAAAGTCATTAATCTAAATTTTTTTATTATGTTTATTTACAAAAAAATCAAGTGCTAACTAAACTGCATAGAATTGAGGAAAGTATAGTGAGTTATGTTATGATAACCAAAGGCACGGTACTCTTAAGTACCCCCCCCCCCCCAAAAAAAAAAGGCAAAACCCAACAAACCCCAAACCTAACCAAACCACCACACAGCAAAACCAACACTTCTTGCAAAGGGAGTACTTAGCTAAGCTAATGAGAAAGAGGACACTGACGGAACATGGTAAGGATGTAAGAGAAAGGCGTATAGAGTCTGAAGTAGAAGGGAAAAGGCTTAGCACAGTACCACAAGTCAGCAAACTGGGGAGAAGTCGGTCCAACCAGAAGAAATACCGAGGTTGCGTCAGCGTGGCTGTGCCAGATAGATGTGATGTCCTGTTGTCATATACTTGGAGCTCAGCAGATGAAGGGCTGTGATCTGTAGGGGTCTACTGGTGTGGTGCTGGGGCCAAGTCCTGTGAAGCAAACAGCTGACAGACCTTCACTCCCCTATTTAGTCATGTCCCTCCATATCTGCAATTCCATATCCTTCCTTCTGCTGCTGCTTCTGCCTGCTAGAAGCAGCTCCAGCAGCCTCCTCTTTGCAGGTTTTCCTTCAAGGCTGCCTGGATTTAAGCATCTGTGTAGCCTGGGCTGGGGGGGGACTGCTTGTCTGTACAACCCTGGGACTAGAGGAATGGTGTGGGGAGGGGGAGGGAGCAGCCTGCAGAGTGTTGATCTTGTCAGCTCGAAGAGACTGGGACAGGGTGGTTCTGCTGCAACCACTTCTGACTTGTGTGCAGTTAGCAGAAGTTCTTGTTACCAGCATCTTTCCTATTTTAAGTCAAGTGTGGATGCAAGATGCAGCTACCTTTCCCAGCCCATTGCAGGAGGAGTTCCTGTCAACCTTCTTGTGTTTGTTTTGTGTTTTTGCAGGTTGTGGGCTGCTCATTGCAGAAAGATACAGCTGAAAAAGGGTTAGCATCTTTCCATTCAATTTATGTCCTGAACTTTTAAGATCCTACTATTGCTTTTTTGGTTTTGTTTTTTGGGGTTTTGGATTTTTTTAATGTTAGGCCCTTATATACATTCTATGGGGAGCTAGAGATGATAGGGGGAATAAAAAGAAAAAAGTAAGCTCTCATTACAGATATTGTAGGGACAAAAGCCTACTGTTTGGTTTGTGTAACTGGAAGAGCTCTGTATAATTCAATAAAAAGGAAAGGAGGCTGAATTTACAATCCTTTCAGTATGGCCTCATTGAAGTACAGATAAAAATGGTATTAACAGGAGCTGCAGTAAAAAGCGGCATTTTTAAAAACAGCTTATTTTAGAAATAGTTATCTGAAAATTTGTTGAGAGTGGTTGGGACTTCTAGCAACATAAATAATTGATCAGTTTGTCTTTCTCTCTCCTTTTTTATTGCTGATTGCAAACCCAACACAAGCTCAGGAGTATTAACAGCAAATGTAATTTGTACAGCACCAAATTCTCCTAGCTGCTCTATAGGTAAAGCTCTAGACTTGTCCCCGATAGTCCCTCCTTGCCTGTAAGATGTTAGCGTTGTCTGTATTGGAAAATTGACTTGGGAAAGCACAGTGGTATAATGACCAGGCATTATTTTGCCAGTGTATCTGTTTGAAGGTTGACTGTTGTTCCAGAGTAAAAATTACTTTGGGTATTTGAGCAAATTTACTTTGCTGATTAATAAAGGTGTTACTCTAGAACATGTTCACACAGGAAATTATACCATTGTAGTTTCGTTCTTCAGTTTTCCACAGTAAACAGTTTCAGCTCTGAATACTTGAAGCAGCTGAGTAATGGGAAGAATGAAGTGCCCTAGGAAGCAGGCAACTAATGGTGACAAACACCTAACTGATGTTACAGTTCTGGTTTGGTGTCTTATTTTTTTTAACCCCACTCATCGTAGGTTTGGGTTTTTTGGTTCATTTTGGGGGTTTTCTTAGTTAAATGACTAAAGGGAATTTCTGCTTTAAAGAGTGAAGGGAACTGCATATTGTTTGTTTGCACCTTTCAACTTTACAAAATCTTGCTATTTTTATTCAGATGGGTCATCGAATCATGTTTACAACTATCAGCCATGTGATCATCCACGTCAGCCTTGTGATAGCTCATGCCCATGTGTAATTGCTCAAAACTTCTGTGAGAAGTTTTGTCAGTGCAGCTCAGAATGTAAGTAAAACATTTAAAAGCTATCTATAAATGTCTTTCACTGTCCCAACATTTAACTCTGTACTAGCAGTCTGTCTGTACTGCAGACAGTGTTTGCAGGAGCAGCAAATTGTGTTAAATGGTGTGAGAAGGGAGCATATATTCAGTTTAATTTGGACCTCTTAATTAGCCATTGAAGTCAGAAACAGTCTTCAGAACTAAAATTGAAGAAGGCTAAAGTAAAATCAGGGAAGGAAAGAATTTACAGTACTTTGAATGTCCTATACAGATAGCAGTTGCTATTTTTTTAATGTTCTAATATGCTATAATCTGCACAGTCTTAATTTTACAATGTACTTTTTTCATACCTGCCCTTTTTGTTTTCCATATATTCCTTTGTAGGCCAAAACAGGTTTCCTGGATGTCGTTGTAAAGCACAGTGCAACACTAAGCAGTGTCCATGTTACCTAGCTGTACGGGAATGTGATCCTGACCTGTGTTTAACATGTGGAGCGGCTGACCACTGGGACAGCAAAAATGTGTCTTGCAAGAACTGCAGCATTCAGAGAGGATCCAAAAAAGTATGTAGTTATACAACTACATGCTTATTGCCTTGGTTTTGAGGTGTTTTTATATTTTCATGCTAGGGAATGGAATTTCTTTACCTTCATGCTGTCAAACAAGAAAAGAAAAACAAAAAAAACAAAAAGGGAGGTAGCTGTCACTTATGTTACCTTGCTTATGTGCTGCAGTTAAGTTCAGTGTATATTTCATCATGTACCAATTAGTCAGTGTTTTCTGTGTAACACTGCAGTAGAATATCTCCTTTTCCCCATTCAGGCTTCACTTGTAATTTGCAAATATGCTGCTGTTTTAAAATGCTGGCTTGTCAGTCTTTCTCTAGTTCAGCATAAGGAAGTTTTGCTCATAGATAGATACTGGCTGTTTCTTCAGTTGTTGATTCTAAAGCACAAACTTGTATACAGTCTACTGAAGATATCTCGAAAGCCCATTCAGCTCTGTTAAATAAATAAACCAAGGTTTATTTCTGCTCCAGAACATCTCACAAACTAGCTCAGTAGAATACTGAGCTAATCAGTAGTAGGCTCCTGTGTACAGACCTTTCTAGTTTGAAGTCCTTAGTGTATATGGTTTTATGTAACACCCTCATTTCAAGGTTAAATTAAAATTTTTATTGGCTTTCAAGTACTTCACATGGCTTTTCTTTCACATATTTTCTGATCACATTCTTTCACTCTTTTCTGATCCACAAGCTGTAATTTTAGTGTGCATGTGATAATTATAAGAATTTGTATTTGTCTTCTCTCCTGGAGTCCCAGCATACATTTCACTGAGTAATACAATACAAAACAAAACACAAAACCCCAACAATAAAACAAAAAAACCAAATCCAAGCCAGGGATGTCTAAACTTTTTGGTTTTTCTCTCCCACAGCACTTGCTGTTGGCACCTTCAGATGTGGCAGGCTGGGGAATTTTCATCAAAGATCCTGTACAGAAGAATGAATTCATCTCTGAGTACTGTGGTGAGGTAAGGATGGAGAACACTGGTTATGTATGAGATTAATTGGTGAAGTTATGTGTTTGGCTAGAGACCAAGAGACTGTCTCTAACTTGGTATCATGTTTGGACAGAGAGATGTGATTGACTAAGTATACAGGTACTGCTGTCAGAGGCTCCAAACCCAGGAGGCTAGATGATTGAAATGTCACAAAAAATTAGACATAGGCCTTTGTGAGAATGAGAGGCTGAATGTAGTTTTTATCTTAAATGTAATTTCAATTCAGATGTGCCTGGAATTTTGTGCAGAATTGTTTAGTATAGTGCTAATATTCTATAGTAATAAAACCCTGAATCAGGTATGCAGTCTTGATTTTTGAGTTGAGAAGCAATACTTGCTTTCCTTCTGCTCTGAAAAAACTTATTTATGCTAAGAGCAAACCATGGTTGTTTGGTAAACGCAGAATGCTTGCTGAAAGCAGTACTTTGTTTGGGAATATTTTCAGTCCCAGAGAATAAAAAAACCTCACCTTCCTTTCAGAATGTCTGGGGTTTTTGACCTTCAGCTGATATGGTTAAAAAAGGGAAAAGGTGGTCACTTTTACAAGTACTATTTCTTTCAGATTATTTCTCAGGATGAGGCAGACAGAAGAGGAAAAGTATATGACAAATACATGTGCAGCTTTCTGTTTAACTTGAATAATGGTATGTATGTATTAGTCACAACCCTTGCAGCATAAATAAAACATGTATGCTCACCACTTTGTTAAGCCCTGTTCTTTTGCAGGCAGCAGGTAACATTGAGAAATTTGTTCTTCTGCACATCTTTTCCTAGCAATGTGTGGATTCCTAATATTGATATCCAGTGCTTTTTTTTTTTTTAAATGTTAGTCAACTAGATAGTAGTGATGGAGCCCATTACACAAGCCAACTATACAAGATGAGTTGAGTAGGAGTAGAATTTCATGGAGTAACATTATGTGAAAGCATTAAGTGAAGCAGCCTAAAGAATTTAAAAGGCTTGTTAGGTATTGTGTGAAAGAGTTTTGCTGTGACTTAAATTAGCAGTAAGTTACGATGGTAATTTTGTGTCGGGGGGGGAACCACATGCATGTGGCTACTGCCACTTGAAGAGAAAATAACAGACTGTACTGTGTCAAGTGAGAAATACTAGAAAATATTTGAAAGGAGGAGAAAAAAAGCTGCTTTATATCAATGTTGACTTAGCATTTATGGAGCTTGTCCTTGTGGAATAAAGGCAGAGAAGCTTCAAATGAGAAATTAAGGTAGTGCCACTGTGGTAGGAGACTAACTGAAAGCACAGTGTGGGGCAGCAGAAATATTTTGAGTCTTGCAGAATAATAAAGCTATCATAGGATGAAGTGCCAGCTCTTCCATCTGGGAAGCTGAGAAGTTACTTTTCCCAGCTGATAAAATCCAAGCACACTAGGTATTAAACACAAAAATTTGTTTGTAGGCAACTTATCTATTATTTGTGGGTTTTATTTTATTTCACCCCTAGATTTTGTGGTTGATGCAACACGCAAGGGCAACAAAATTAGATTTGCAAACCATTCAGTAAATCCCAACTGCTATGCAAAAGGTAAGTTTTAAATTTACTTGCTTTTAGCAATGTATGAAGTATTGTGGGATACTCATTTAGAATACACATTTTATCAGTATTTGTATTAACACAAGTTTATATTTCTTTTACACAGTTATGATGGTTAATGGCGATCACAGAATAGGAATATTTGCTAAAAGAGCCATTCAGACTGGTGAAGAACTGTTCTTTGACTACAGGTTGGTAGATGGATTTTGTAATTTCTTCCTATCAGACTGCACTAGCTTTCAGTATTTCTGCCTAGCTCATAATTACTGTGCCTGCCTCCTTATAGCCTCAGGTCTCAGCAACTGAGCAGCAGTCCCCTTGCACTTTTTTAAAGCCAGACACCGTAGTAAGACTGACTTGAGCAGAGCAGCAGGTTAAGAGCCTTGCAAACTTGGAACAGCAGCTTGTATAGGGAAAAGCGTAGTGACAATTGGAGACAGACCTGCACAACTTTTCCAGGCAGACCGGCATATTAAACTTTATCTGTTGGGGTTCCCTAGGTACCGGTACAAGTTGTTTCTCCCATCGTTCAGAAATGGGCAAGAAGTATTCTTGTGTTATTACAGAGAAGTGCTTCCTAAGACTGTGTTCATACTTCCCTCTAAAATCATCTCGCTTGAAAATGAAGCTGTCCAGTGACAAGACTATTAAGTCAACTGTAAGAAATGCAATTGCTTTCTACTAGCCAAACTTAACTTTAGCATTGTGAGATTCAAGGCAAAAAAATGTGGAATTATAGCATTTTGTTTCCTCTTGGTCAAAGTCCTCTAAAAGCAGCTTCTTGAGTGGTCAGTATTGTTCTGCATCTGCAAATTCACACAAGGAATAAAGGCCCCAGCTGGTGAGGAAACTATGGGAAATTTTAAGTATGAGAGTATTCCAGGCTATGGTGCTGTCAGAGCAATGAAGCTGAAATGTTCAGTGGTACTGGTTTTTATTTTTGGTTTTATTTTTTTTATTTCAGATATAGCCAAGCTGATGCCCTTAAGTATGTGGGCATTGAAAGAGAAATGGAAATCCCTTGACACCAGCTACCTCTTCTTTTAAACAGCTGCCTTATCTTCAGGAATTTCTAGTACTGTGGGCAATTTTAGAAAAATGAAAATGATGCAATTTGAAATTCTGTATTTGCAAAGTACTGTAACAGTAATTTATAGTAACAAATTTAAAAAAAAACACAACTTTTTATTGCCTTCTCACCAGCTGCAAAGTGTTTTGTACCTATGAACTTTTGCAATAATGTGGTGTGGTACATTTTTCAACCTTGAATAAAGGATACTTGAACTTCTTCATTTTTACTGGAATTGAGTTGGAATTTTGTGTTGGCCAGTTGAGGAAGCAATGTGAATACTTACTTTCAACTTCTGAGCATAGACAACTCCATGCTTGTCTACTTCTGTTGCTATTACTTCAGGTCCTATTTAAGACTAATGTGAAGATAACAGTGTAGGAGACAGCCCCCAAGCTGACTGTGGAACTTTGGCATCTAGCACCTCAGTAAGAGAGTCATGGTCTTGCAGTTCTCATCTACCCTTGGCATGAAGCTACACTCACATTCTCTGAAGTGAGGGTTGCAGTTTAGAAACTCCTATCAACTGCACTTAATTTTTAAAAAGTATTTCTCTACTCTTGCTAAGTCTCATCCATCCTTAGTCTTAACACAGGGTCTGTCCATTAGCAGCAGATGCATTGAACAGGAGGGGAAAAGGGTCCCCCCCAAAAAAAACCCCATAACAGCTGTGATTTCTGGAACAAAACCTACTTTAAAGACAAATCTGTGGTACAAGGTCTGTGTCTATCTGTGTATTACCTTAATGGCAACTCAGCTGCCTAAGCAGGTGCCATGAATCTTTTCACTCATTTCCATACTGAGTGAACAAACACTGATGAGGAGAGAGGTGTGATAAGGGAACCAGCAGTGGTACTCCAGCCCTCAACTGTGGCTTTACTCTGAAGCAACAAACTGAATAATGAATGCAAAAGTAACTACACATACATTTCTCTTCTGCATCTCTTGTTTATCTGTAAGCAACCACTATTTTGCTTATTGGTACAGTATACAGTTAGTATCTCTTACTACAAATTTTTTATATATGTTTTTATCCAAAAGTGTTTAGATTGCAGCTAGTTGTTTGGGTCCTGCACAGGGCTACCACATGTTTATTTCCAATTTGCCAGCTGAGTGTGAACTCTGCAGCCTACTTGCAAAACTGATTTCAAGAAATCTTGTCACTAATGACCATGTATACTTTCTGCACTGAGGAAGCTCCAACTTGCTGGCCTTGTTCAGCAAGACCCAAAGGAGCAGTGCCTGTTTCCACACTCTCACATACAGCACTCAGCTGCCAGATGCCACCTTGCTCTGTGGTGGCCTAAGTAAGAACTACCCCTCATCTTACTCATGGGGGGGAAGTCCAAAAGTAAAAATTTACTTTCTCCCTGCTTAGGTAAAGCACGGCTCTTGTCTGAAGCTGGATCAACAGCAGATGCGTTTTAAAAATAGAACTCTGCAAGAGACAACAGCATACAGTACAAAAAGCAATGCTGCTTTAACCAGCAATGGGTTAAAGCTAGCTTTGAGCAGGTTATTTCTGGCCTTCTGCCTATGAACATCATTGAGCCTGCTTCTGTCACTGTACCACTCGTATCCTGCTACAAAATCTACTCATACTGAACTTACTTTCTGCAAGCAGCGTTTACAAAAACAAAACACAAAACAGCTTCTTAAAAAAAACCAGAAAGCCAGCACAGAAATCAGCACAAGCCCTATTCTTCCAAATTTCAAAAAGCAATTTGAAAATTGAACAACACGATGCTTCTGTTACCCATGCTGGCAGTCTTTAGTGCAATTAAAGTTCTTTCAGAATAGCAACAGCAAGCATGCAAAATCTCAAGTGGGGATGAGACTTTTCCCCCATTTTCTCAACCAGTTTGGAGCACATTTAATACTGCTCCATAATTTTTTTTTTTTAAACCCAGACATTTTTGTAGGGCAGAGCTCAATTGTAACCATGAAAAATTAGTTTCCTTCAGAGAAAAACAGTATCAACACAAAACCTGCCTCCTTTTTCTTCATGCCAGAACAAACACCAAACAAATCAAATTCTAAGGGGGAAAAAGGGTTTGGCTGCAGCAGTTGTTAGGTTCTTTTCACCATCAAGAACAGAAAATATAAATTACCAAAACTGAGACCTGTGAGGATGGTAGTGTTTTGCTTGTAACATGGAAAGCTAATACTTATTTCACATGTATACAATGAATGCAAAACATGCTGAGCAGAATGAAGCCTGGTCAATCAATATATGTGTAGTAACACTCAAAAATATTTTAATTTCCAGCAGAAGTTGCATTTAATGGGAATTAATTAATCTTTAGGAACACAGTCAATTTTCTGTTCTAGTCAAAGAAATGGGCAGCCTCAACCTTAATTATTCAGGGCAGCATTTAGGCAAGTGGGATGCATTTTATAGCACACTGAAGTATTAAAACCAGCTCCAATTTCAGATGACCAAGTATTGCCATATATATATATTTAAGTATTTTCGGTTCTGCATATCTTCTGAAATCATCACAACTTTCTCTTCTTTCCAAAGCGCAGACATCTCCTCTTAAAAAAGAAATAACATGCACCTTTGATGAAAGATGACAATTAATTTCTTCAGAGAACAAAATGTGCTTAAATTACCAGAAAACAGGGAAAAGGAGGAAAAGCAAAACGAATTTCTATAACTTTCATAACCATTGTACCTTTTATTTACATTTAGAAAGATAAGTCATGAAACTTAAAACAATAAAACCAAATGCAACTTGTACAGAAATCTTTTAATTTTTTTTTATTTATCACACATTAAAAAATGAAACACACTATACAAATGGTTTTTCATAGCAGATTACACATGGGTCCATTCAGACTCGCTCTCAAAGTGCTGCCAACATTTGTAAGTGCTGCCTGTGATGGCAGCTGTTTATCATATAGCCAATGTATTGATTTAAATGCAGTAGCATGCAACCCTTAAAGGAGAAGGGTTTGATTCCTTTCTGTTCTTAAATTAGGTTAAATGGCATTGGTGTCCATATTTACATACTTGAAATGTATCAATCCTGAGCAGTTCTGATGTAAATCTGAGACTGGCTGATGGGAGTCCTGGTCTCAGTTTTTAAAAAGGGAGGTCCAAATGGCAGCAGGGTGGCTGCTATGAAGTTCCGTTGCTTTCATTCTTTCCATCACATACCTATTTGCTGAGTGTCACACAGTCAAGTAATTGCTAATAAAAATGTTAAGCCAAGTAACTGTAGGTGTCCTTCTCGCCATCTACACGTTCCAAGTATTCTTTCTCAATCAGAATGTCGATGCATTTCTGCAGGAGAAACAAACATAAGCAGTGGGACACTGGCAGAAAAGCCCACTCTGTGGTTGCTACAAACTTTGAACTATTTTGGCCACCGAGTTTCAGGCCCAGTAGAGGATGGGAGTAGGCAAAGGGCACAAACCATGGCAATTAGCTCTCCTGTTTCGGACCACATCCAAGTAGAGGACTGACTTACTAATCCACTAAACTGAATTACGCTTACTTGATGCCATTCCAGGGTAGTGACTGGGAGATCAACTGATCATCAGTATGCTAAGCAACTTCATAGTAAGAGAGCAAATAAAGAGTTAAACCAAGATGCAGAGTGCTTACTGTAATGTTACTAAAGATAGCAGTTGCAGTAACTAGCTGCCTGTTTCATGACTTAACTGGGTGCATCTCTTTCAGCACTAGTGGCAGTTTATGCAACTGCTCTCCACTGCCTGTTTTTTGCCCCATCTATCCCCTTGGTTGTGGATGTAAAAACTATTGGTGGGACCACTAAACAAACTGATGAGGAAACCATAACTAAATACAGTGCTCCCCCCCCGCCCCCCAAACATTTTTATTCTAGAAGAGATCAGGAAACTGTTCTATTGAGCTGGCCCACAAGCAGGAGTACTCTCACAACTGGGAAAGCAGAAACAAGAGGGAAGCCTGGAGCAAAGGCTGCTGTAAGCTGGCACTGATGTGAAAAAGATGCAATCAAGTTACTATTTTACCACTGCCAACAATACAAAACGTGCACATTACCATAAGAGAAATACAGTATTTCTGGTTGAAGTATTTCCTACTTATTTACAATTCCAAAAATCTCTCCTTACCCATCCCATTTCCTTAGCTTCTCTTTTTAATTCAGAAGCATCTATTTTGTCTATATATGTGCTCCTCACCTCCTGGAATACAGGTTCAGAGATGTGGTTCTCACGTACCTTAATTACTGGAACTCGTGGCTTGAACCTTGAGGACAGCTGTGTTAACACTTCTCCAAGTAGTTGCTGGTGTTTTAGAACCTTCCTCATTTTCATGATTCTCACAATAGCAGCCTGCACAGCAAAGTCGGAAAGGTGTGCTTAGGAGCAAACTACCTGTCCTTCTGGATAAAGCCATTTTCCTTCCCTAGCAGATCACGTCTGCTACTCACACAGACTTTAAGAACTTAGATTCTACATAGAATACAGTCATCAGAAGTAGCTTTGACACATGAATTTTAAAAACTATTCTCCTATGGTCAGTCATAACAGTAGTACCAACTGGTACCAAGAGCAACATGAAACTACTTATATAACAGAAAGCCTTCTTTATATATTTAACCTTACTGTGACACTCTTAGTAGTACATTTGTATTTCTTTCCCCTCCCTTTTGCTTCTCAAGTGGATTCCAAATGAACTAGTAGAAAAATGCTGTTAAGCTCATACTACCCAGGTATTACCAGTTTTCACCCGGGACGGAGGTCTGGTGAGTGTGTGCATCCATGGAACCCAAACACTCATCAGCATAATGTCAGAACAAATGTTAAGTGTCCAATCATGCCTTTCTATGTTTTCTACTACAGACCCCAATCGCCTTTAAGAGTACTATAAATACATTTTTAGCTCCAACACAGTGCACTGCAATGGCATGTTGGCTTTTAATAAAAATTAAGAAAACCCCACAGTAAGCTTCGTTAAAGGATTACAAAGCTGTAATTCTAAGTTCATAGCATGGCAGCATTCTGCAATGTAAGTCACCTGAATCAGTAGTTTCCTATCTTCCTCTATGTTTTTGTGTGTAGTTTCTTGCTCCTGCTTCTGTTCAGTCTTCATTGGCACATTGATGTTTACCCTTAATTTTTTGCTGTAAAGAAAAACAGAGGTTAATAAAACAATTAGCCTATTTAAAAAACAATCAATCAAACAAAAAAACCCCACCACAAACAAAACCCAACTTCAAAATAAAGTAACTGTGGTGGTGT